TCAAGTAAGATTTTTTATATGAATTCTCTCACAAACGAAAGATGTTTATAACTTAAGTCATATATTTTGAAAGCAATTTTATTTTTTTAATCAATTATAATAAATATAAATAAAATTACTTAAACATAATTATATTTCTCTTTAAAAAACAAACAAAAACGTGCCAGTAGATAAAATAAACATTAACAAATACTTCTTTTTTTAATTAAAAGATTGCCTGCCCAAGTTAAAAACTTCGTTTGTATTTATACTATATTGTTCCTATTTTAAGACAAGCAGTCAATATGTATATACACTACGGTGCGTATATCCTTCAAAAGTCTGTCAACGTAAGTACTGCGTTAGTACTCTACTGCGCTAGTTTAATTTTAAAGTTAAAAACCAATATGAATACATATTATTTTTTCAAATTGCCTTTAAATTCGATAATCTCTACCGATTTTTAAATTAAACGTGCGAATAGACTATTATTAAATATAGTCTATTCGTATGTGAAAAACGTGCGAATAGACACCGTTAAAATTTCAAGTCAAAAATTGTGATCAATTTGATGTAGTTATGATATCAATAATTTTTCATGTTTTTTTATCAAGTAATATTCTCAATATGATCTAATGATGATGTCACAAATACAACTAAATGTATTTAACTATGATTGTGATATCATAATAAGATATTTATGTGATATCAAAGCATGGTACTTTTGATATCATAATAATATCACATTGATCTCATGTGTTGGTTGGGTAATAACTACCCAGTGGGCACGGATATAAAAAAAGACGTCTTTTAAACGTCTTATACACGTTTTGGACGTCTTTTGAACGTTCAAAAGACGTCTTTTGAACGTTCTAATGACGTCTTTTTTTGGTCCGGTGTCCACTGGGTAGCGAAGCAGTTTTTTTTTTAATTTTCTTAAAAAAATTTGCATAATTCCTGCATTCTGATTTTGTTTTATAGCATTTTTTTAAAGATACTTTATATAAAATTGTTGTTTCCGTTTAAGCTAGAACTAAACAGAAATTTAATTTCTGTTTAGTTCCAGCTTAGTTTTCGCTTAGTTTCCATTTAGTTTCCGCTCAGCGTGTTTCCATTGTTGAAAATTTTAAACGCTTTATTTTTTTAAATTTACATTTCTAATTAATTAATTGCTTTAATTGTAAAAGTAGTTTGACACTAAAATCACTATACAGAATGACCTTTTTGTTTTTAATAAACTGTGAAAATTTTTAACATTGAGGTCTAAACGTTTATAAATTTAATTTATACAGTCTCTAATTGTTCACGTTTATAGTTGTTATAGTTATGTTTTATAGTTGTTTATGTTTAGATTAAACAATTTGTGAGCTTGTATTGTACTATTTTATATTTTAGAGGATCTTTTCAATATTTAGATCGTTATAAAGCGTTTATTGCATAACTACCGGTACCAAAAACTTTGTTAAAACAATCTGAATTTTCGATAGCATACCGACGGTCACACAAATAGTATTGATTTCTTCCAAATAAAATTAAAACTCTGTGTTCGATTCAAATTTTTAAAGGTATTTAAAAAGAAAAAAATTTGATTACAACGTATCAAAAGTGCAAAAATTTTAATTTTAAAATGTTTCAGAATTTTTGTAAATTTAACAAAGGTTTTGATTGATATTTGTTTTGATTTTTTGTTGTGAAATTTTTTGATTTATAAAACTAATTAAAAAAAAAAAATGACATCAACGACAATTTTTTGTTATTTACTGCTCCGCAGCCGTATTCACTTCTATCCGGAAAAAAATGAATACGGCTGCAGGTCTATTAAAAAGAGATAATATTAAAAAAAGTTAATATGAATATATAAAAGTATATATGAATACAAAAAAAAACAACACAATAATAATAATTTTTTTAGAAAAATTTTAGTTTAAAAAAATCAAAATTAAACTTTAAAATTTTTTTCAAATTCTCTAAAAAAATCTTTAACAGAAGATCAAGTTAAAATAGATCGTTAATAATTACTTGTAAAATAATAATGGGAAAAAAAGTCAAACAACTTATCATTTTGTGCACAAAATAATTTAATAAAAATAAATTTTTTTCAGATATGACGTCACATGCTATAAATCTTTTCACGAGACCATGTAAAAAAAATACACATTGTAATTGTGGAGGTATCTTAAGAATTCTGACAACCACTTTCATATGATTAAATAGTTATTAGTAGAGGTAAGTTTTGACAAAAAATTATATTATTTAATAATATTAAGCCTGCGATGGGTCGAATTTTGTGTTTTTTGATGACTAAGTAATTTATTAGTTTTTAAAGTTGCAAAGTTTTAAGGTATGTTACTCAATGTGTCCATAGGTAAGTAGCATTATTTTGTAAACTACAATTCATAGGTTGTTTACTTTGTAAAACAAAAATATTGAAAAAATAAAGATGCAAGGAATGTTTTATCATTAGAGTTAGCAAGTAACAATAACAAAGACATGGAGGAAGCTTTTGCTCTAATAACAACTTTTTACAACCTTACAGAGATACAACTTTACAGAGATACAACCTTACAAAGATATAAGTCTTAAAAAAAGTCAGGAGCTGAACTTTTTTAAACAAAGCTGATGAAATAGAATCTAATAGAGGAGGACTCAAGGCCATTTGTGTATCGGAAACGACATAAATAATTTGAAATTTACTATGACTTAAGAAGTAATCTATGTTCTTGTAAAGATGTGACTGGTTTGTTTTCTTCTCTTAGACTCTAGCATAGTCCTGCACAACAACAGTACATAAATAGCTCAAGATCATGTCTCAAAATAGGGTTGCTCTACAATGAAAATAAATCTTTCCGTCTTAGTTTCTCACGCACTCAGTTTCATAGTCATCTTTCAGATTAAAGAAGATAACGTTAAAGAAGATAACTTAAAGAACTTCTTGCTTTCTTGCTTGGCTTGCAAGAGGAATACACATTTATGTTTACTTTGCTTATAAGACAGTAGAAATGACGATGGTTATTACAAGAAAGTACATTGGCATAACGGGAACTACAGCAAAAATTGTTCAATGTTTTAAAGCATCCTCTACACTTCATTATAAGCTAGGATTGGTAAAAAAGTATGTAAAAGGCATAGATTTTGGAGAAGCTTTACATAAAATTTGTCTTATGTTTCAGAAGCTATCTACAGTGAGTTTTTCAAGTTCCAACCGTTTAACACAGTTTAAAAACTGTTCCACATAGTAAAGGTAATTGTGATAAGTTATCATTTTCTAAATCACCTTAAAGAGCAATCTCATGTAGCACAAAAAACAGCCCTTAATCAATAATTTTCATAAAATGCATACGCTTTTCTTTACAACAATGCGCAATTTTTTTTTGGTATTTCAACAGTATCAGGACATTTAGAAATGTTTACTTTCTATAATACGGCACTTAAAAATTCTATGTTCCTTAAAATGTTCAATAGGTTTTTTTCAATTACATAATCTTTTACTAATAAAAGCGTTTTACTTGGATTTCGATCAAAAATTTTGGGGCTTTTTTGTTCCCAGGCTTCAATCATCGCAAACTTTTAAAAAGCATCCTTATCTGAAATAAATATAAAAATATAAATGTTTAGAGTTTGCTCCATGTCTGAAAGTTAGGTATCTCAAAGGCTAAAAAATACTGGATCCAACCATGTTACACAGTGTTTATGTCAGTGTTTTAATAGGACCAGGAAAATCCACTTAGTTCAATAAACTATCGTGATTGGCAAGAATGTTGAACAAATTTCTTTTTGTGAAAATTTATATGCTTACATTAGGATGAAATAGATAATCTAAGGTTTGCATTTCTTTCATAATGGTTTTAGAAAAATTACTACTGACACAAGTAGTTGAGGAACTTCGTAAGCTTGATTTATCAAACTGACTGTATTAATTCCTGGATCATTTGATGCTCTTAAAAAACCAGCCACTTATATATTCATAAAATACAATGATGTCGTAAATAAAGCATAAACTGAAAATACTTGTTTTTTTGCTATCGTAAAACTCAAAAACATTAAGGTTTAAGAGAAACTCATGTAAAATATTTAATTTTTAACACCCATCATTAACAACTAATGTTTAATTTTAATTAATACACATAATTTCCTGAAGTCGTCATTTCCCTCTACATTGGTGTCACACCTTTTAATAATTTTTTGTTTTAGCTGTTTAATAAATGGAAAGGAAAGAAAATTGTTATACACTTTTATTTTCGTTTATTTTTAACCCAGTTTATTAACAGCTAAGGTGTTTTATAACTTATAAGTGTGGAACCGTGTGGAATAATTTTAAAATAATTATTATTTACTTATTTCACCCAACTCTCTGTTTTAGCCGTTTTGGCTGTTTAAAAATATAAGGTCTATTGGCTACATACTGTAACAACAAATTACTTATAGAAGATGGCAGAAAAATAAAAAAAATATCCGCCAAACAACCGACGGCGATTTCTTATTTGTTATAATTTATGTAATTAAAAATTTAAAATATATATTTTATTTCTTAAGCTTGATAGTCCTTACTTTGATTTGTTTATTATGCAACAACAGATGTATACGTTATAGTTTTGTTTAGCATGGCGTCTAACCTAGATAATTTTTAACCTAGATAGTCTTTGTTTCGAACAAACTGAGTTCATTATTGTGCATTCTTTTGTTGAAATTAACTATTCATAATGAAATTAGAAGCTGTTTAGCTGAAACAAAAGTACAGGTGAACTGTTCGACGACAAATTTTAATGTGCAGGCTATTTGAATATTCTTTATTTTTTTTATTGGTAACTCGTTGTTTTTTTAATACTACCCATTTATTGTTTATGCATATTTAATTTAATCTAAAAATAAGTTAAAATCGTTATTTAACTAGTGTCTACTACCAGAGTAAAATTTTTCGTTAAAAGTAATTTTAATATGTAAGTTTCAATAGCATAAATAATAAATTCCGTTTTTCAATTAAAGATCTGTTAAAAACAGAATAATACTTGAATGGAAAAAAAAACATGTCAGAAAAGCAAATTGAGAAAAATGCTCCTCAGCAAATGATCATATTTTATTAAAAATCTCTACATGGTATTTCCAGTTTCTTCTCTTTGTGAGTATGTGTGAGTTTTATTATGTGGTTTTAAATGTTAGTCTTTTTTATCTTGTTTTTAAATATTAGCCTTTTTTAAATTTTTTGAAATGTTTGTCTTTATCTTGTTTTAAATTGTAATTGTTTTTTTTTTTATTTGTTTTTGATTTGCTTTAAATTAAATTATGTGTTCAAACCTTCAACGTTACATTATATTTTAGATAAAAAATGCCGATTGTGCGAGCTTCTCTAATTACCCGAATCAAGAAAATGACAGCAGAAGATGATTTCAATGAGGAAGAAAAAAAACCACCCATAACTTTAAAACGAATTGAAGAAAGACGAACGTCACTTCTACGAAGAAAAAGCTCAGTTTTTGGAACAGGTAACCAGTATTGATATAGCATCCATTTAAAATAACTTTAATTTTTTCCATATTTTAAATTAAAAAGTTTCTATAAATTTTGCTACAAGCTTTTATGTATGACTAATAATAATTGCGTGTGGTGTACGCTTTAGATATGGGTGACAGGGATGTACCTTACCTTTAAATTTGTCTAATAGCTTGTTTTCTATTAGAAAAGTTTACAAAAAGGTTCAACTATGTAGCTTTCTGCAAAAACGTGCAAGTAACCATGTGGACGTATTCTACTTTAATAATTAGTTCACTTTCCAGTACAAATTGCGCATGTACATGAAAAGTGTTTTAATTGTTTTTTTTTACCGAGTAAAAGCAAAGTTTATCAACCTTTATTTAATAAGGTTGTAAGCACTGCATTAAAAAAAAAGTAAACCTCTTTTGTATATTTAATTATTTAATTTGAATAATTATTTAAATCGCGAATGTTTCATAGTTATTTATAATACTTTATCTTAAAAAGGTGTCATTCTTCATTTTTTTTCTTTTGAGTATATTTAATGCAAAATTTAGATCCCAAGTAATTTTTTTTTTAGTTATTTAGATGCTCCAAGATTTAACAGTTTTATTGAGTAATTTAAAATTGCCTGAGCCGATAAATTTTACCTGCTAAAATAAACGTAAATATGTTTTATTTTTCGAAAGTTCTTGCTTTATATGAGAAAAATATATTCACGTCAAAGGCCGTACCTGTGTGTGTGAGATAAAAAGTCAAATTAAGGGTAAATGTAGTTAACGTAACTATTTACGTCATAAATTTTATAATTTAAATAATTAAGTAACTAATTATAAATCATAATTTAATAGCTTATAATTTTAACTGTTTGTTAAATATCAACATAAATATTTTAAACATGGTAAATACTTAAATTTTAGTCTGTTTTTTGTATTTTTTTATAATTTTAATATATATTTTTTATATTTATAATGTTTTATTTTTACACTTGTAACTTTTTATTTATACTTTTAATCTTAAATTTTATACTTTTATAATCTTTTATAGTTTTTTTTTATTCTCTTTTATTAGAGCGAAAAAGTTTGGTAAGTGTTAGCAGCGGCTCAAGCAATGCTTCCGTTATTAACGAACTTAAATTAAACATATCGTTTCAATTAATTTGTGCTTTTGGTAATCGTGAGGTGTATTTTAAACATGATGGAAATCGTTTCACAGAGAAGCACACAATAAAATTAGCAACAGCTACAGAATATAATATAAGAATGGAAATTGAACCCAGCTTGAAACTAAAGTAAATATTTTTATTTAGATATGTCTACTTTGCTTCTTAAAGTTTTTTTTTTAAACCCTTTTTTTATTTCATATTCATTATTTATCTACATATTCATTAGAATCAAATTACTTGTGATGACTACTTATTTGCTTTCTCTGTGTTCCCATCATGTTGTTGATATCAGTGAATTTTTGTGAGAATTTTAATTAATGATATAGCTAAAGAAGACTTTATAATTTACCTAATTTAATAACTAGAGACTGACATGCAAAGCTGAACATTTGTAAAGCCGTATTACAGTGGTCAATTTTCAGAAAATGAGTGCTTAAATCTGTTAAAGAATCTTGACAGGCTAATGCATTCTCTAAAAATTGTCCAATTGGCTCCACTTGAACCATTCAGTCTTTTGCTTCTTGTCAACACAATTTGCTTGAATAAATGGATAACAACTTCCAACTCTCTTTAGAGAGTTTAAGGTTGATAGTTGGATCCAACTCTATTTAGAGAATTGGATTTTTTTAATTTTAATGATGGTCATTTTTATTATGTTAAGGGGTTGTCCATGAAGTACGTACGCTTTTATTTTGACCTCACCCCCCTCCCATTTTGCCATACGCTTTTTTGAGTACCCTTCATCTCTCTAAAAGTAACTACACTTTTAACCTACTTACCCAACAATTTATGATATTTTTTTAAATTTATTCTCCTCTAAATTTTTTAATTAACCCACTGCCTCCTATCTCATATACCCCATTTACAGATCCCCTCTTCTCCTCCAAACATACTTTATGGACGATCTCTATAGAAACTCTCTAAAAAGAGTTTTTTTTTTCAAGAAACTCTCTAAAGTGAGTTTTTTTTAGCAAAAAATGTCTTTATATTGTGGAAAATTCAACTCAAACAGTTTAAAGACCCCAAAATGATCATATTAGTATTAGTTTTGATTGTCCTATTCACATTAAAAAGTAACTTTAGTTACAAACAAAATAATTCAAAATTTCTATTTTCATAAAAGATACCTATTAAAATTTGGGACTTATAACTTCTTAATGAAAAAGAAACACCTTTTACCTCGAGTAACTGAAAATTGTTTGCCATTTGTTACTTGAACTAGTGATCCTTTCTTTGGGGCAACAACTGATGACGCAATTGCATTTTGTTCAACTTTGACTTATATATTGACTTAAAACAAACCTTTTCAAATTTTAATGTATTTTTCTGTGAAATAGAGCTTTCAACTTTAAACTAAGGTCGAAGCCACTTTCTTTAGTGGATGGTAAAACTTTTAAGAAGATGGTAATTTTAAATTCTTTTTTTTTTTTTTACTATCTACGAAAGTTTAAAAAAGTTTATAAACTGATGTTAAACTTATTTTAAGGGTGTTTTTCACCAAAATATTAATAATTAAATAATTCTTTTAAACAAAATTAAAGTTTATTCCAATTGCTTTACTAAATATATATATTTTGCAAAATATTCAAATCTGCAAACGAAATTTTTGGAAATTGCTATAAACATTAAACCTGATTGTAACCGATCATGTTCACAGGTTCTGTATTGTAACCGACCATGTTAACACAGGTTCTGTAAAAACTTATCAAAGTTTAAAATACCATTTTATTATATTTTTTTTATTAATAAAATTTTTTATGTAATTTTGAAACTTTTACAATTTGTAATTAATTTTTTTTATTGCTTCTTGTTGATTAATAGCTTTATGCATTTGTTTAGTTTTATTAAGATTGCAAATAAAGAATGCTCATTTAAACCCATAAATAAACGCGACAACGAAGACAAGTCTAAGTATCAAGTTTCATGGTCAACCGTCGGGGTCAATTCAACAGAAAGACGTCACCGAGCAAACGTGCCGTGTGTTATTAAATTTAAACATTACAAGCAATTAAAGTTTATGCTTCAAACAAAATTTTATACAGAAACTGAACTCAAACGTATTCGTGTCGGAGTAAAACTGAAATCTGTTGTTTTAGAATGCACTGTTGGTCGTGGTACTATTGATTCTGTAGTTGATAGCATATTAATGAATTAGTTAAAGGGAATTTAAACAGTTGTTAAAAAGCCGAATGTTTATCACTTTTAATTTAACGTATTGCGTAATTAGCATATTGATACATACTTGAAACGCATGATTAACTTTTATAATCAAAAACCCGTACGAAGTCAATAAAAATAATACTCGAAAATTGAAATACAGTATATCAAATTAAAATACAGTGTGTCTATTTTTATAGAAACTAAAATTACTCGAATCCTTGATTGGTTTTTAACATTTTTTTAAATAGTTTTTAATAGATCGATCTTATTGTTTGTAAAATGTTTTTAAATGTTCACATACCATGCTATAAGAACATTAAAAACTATTAGACATATTTAAAATAAAATAAAGACATATATATATATATATAATATAATAAAATTTATTGGAAATATGACTTAAATTAAGTATTGGAAAAGTGGTGCCGAAACATTTTTTATTTATTTTGTTTTCTCTTGGTCAGTTGTTCTTTTATTTAACTTTATATCTTTTTAATCTTATATGTGTTCAGACATTTTATAATAAAAAAAATGTATGTTCAAATCTAACATTTTAATAATTGCATTATTTATTGTCTCGTAACTGTCTATATTACTTGTTTGGTTTTAGTAATAATGTAATGGATACCTATCCAAAAGTAGCGCACCGATGACTAGCCACTATTAACATGTCAAAAATTTCTGATATGTTTTGGCTTTATAGAAGATAGTGGCATCTTCAATAAAGCCAAAATATTACCAAAAATGTAAAAAAAAAAAAGTTAAAAAAAGAATTGTTTAATTTTTAGAAGTAAAAAGATACAGTTTACTTTTTAGCAACAAAAGAAGTACAAATCAATTTTTGAAAGAAAACCATATTTTCTATTTATTTTTTGTGCATAGTCGTAGGTATATTTATCAAATGGGATTAAGCGAACAACGTTATTTATGTTATTACTATTATTAAAATGTTTTTAATATTAACAGCATCAAGTCTGTCATCATTTAATTGAGATAATAAACAACAGCACAGAATTGTAGTTTTTTTTAATTTTAATTAGGTGCATTTAATTAGGTGGTCTTATCACAGAGCACCGCGGTTGAGCATTTAATTGGAAGTTCACGCCTTCTTCCTAACCGATATCGCAAAACTTGTCCATTGGTGAGGTTTGAACCAGGGATCCTTTGTTTCTGAGGAAAGTGCGCTACCACTGCGCTAAGGCTGCTCTATATAATATAATTGTTACTAGTATAATGCCTAATAAGAATAACATTATTGTTACTAGTATAACGTCTTCAGCTGAGGACGCTGTATTTTGATTATTCTGATTCATGATCTTTAAGCATGCACATTGAAAATAACAAGTAATTAATATGTTAAAATATTAGTTTATTAATTCTATCCTTAAAAGAATTTTAAAAGCTAAAAATTATAAAAATTATATAAAATTATTTTATAAAGACAATTTTAATGTTTACACTCTCAGACCTATCCTCGTCCTTGCATTTGTTGTTTGCCAACTTTTAAAAATTATTTACAAAACTTCGTGAAATATTTTAGGTGTGCTTGTATTTCAAGTTGACTCTATGGTGTTGCTACGAAGTAATGCGGAATAGTAATTTATGAGGAAGTTTAAGGCTGTTTTACTAGCCATGGCTAGACACAAAAATGACATTGCAATGTGACTTTGGGGTCGTCCATAAATTACGTCACGCAGAATTTGACCGTTTTTGAACCCTTTCCCTCCTCCCCCCTCGTTACGACATCACTTTAGTAATTGATATTAAATGCTGCATATTCTTTAACAACATCACTGGATCCCTTTTAACAATATCATTGGAATCATTTTAACAACATCACTGGAATCATTTTTTATTTAACCTGTTCTAAGCGTGAGTCACAAAAATCTTTGTGGGGGATCTGTAATTGCCAAATAAGTCTAATTACCAGCGATTTAGCATAGAAAATTGACTAAAATTAATTTATTAAAAAGTTGATTGCGCGACGCTCGCCGTTAAATCTAAAGATGTACAAGCTATTATGTACGTATTCAGTAGATATAAGGGGCGGATGTTTGCACATGTGTTTACCAAATAATATTATATTTAAAAAATGTGTTTTATATATTGTAGAAAATATTTAGTTTATATACATTTGTATAATCATCACGCAATGGATTTTAGTATGACTTAGTTAATAGTGGTGTTTACTACAGCATTAATACCTTACTAATGTAAAATAGATATTGTATATTCAATATAATATTATAAATTATATATTTGCTAAGCTTTTTTGTTATTTAAATTTAAATACAATTAAATAGTTAAAAATTGGACCATAGTCTAGTCTCTAGACTCCGACGGTCTCGGAGCATTGTTTTAAATGTCTTGGTCTTTGTTTTTGTTTTATACCATAACATTCTGTTTAAGATCTTAGTTTTTAAATTCTCAATTTCTCTATAGTTTAGAATCAAATTTATAAACGTAAGGAATTAGTCCATTAATATATAACAATTTTTATTACATTTTATCAAATTAAATCTTTTAAAAAGTTAAACTTAGAAAAAAAGATAAACTAGTACTACAATAACAAAAAAAAACTACGATTAAAAAAAAAAGAAGATATATTTACTCTAATGAAAATTAAAATTTCCGCTATTACAGCTTTTACAAACATTTCTATAAAGCTCAAGTATTCCCAGCTTGTACTGAGGTCCGTAATACGTCTATGCAACGCGTTGAAGACGTCACAAGTCCGTAGGTCGTCCAAATAACGCTCTGTTCCCAATTGGTTTGTAACAAAATCTAACTTTAGATTGACGTTAAAATGCTGACATTAAATTGATGTCAAAATGAGATAAATCGCAACATTATTGTAGCGTCGGTTTAACGTTAAACATGCTATTTTGCAAGCGTCGGTTACTAATGTTGTTCGAATATATAAACCATAGTTCAAATAATTATATTGACATTCCATAGTTCAAATCACATCGAACAAACCCTCAATGTTGCTGTTACAGAGGACATTAAACATTGTTTAAGTTAAGTTTAGTTACAATGTACAAATAATAATTAATGCAACCGTGGCACAGTAGTTAAAGTAGTGGTCCAGGAACCATAAGGTCAGAGGTTAAACGGCGGCTCTAGCTCAATAAGCGTCAACTTAAATATAAATGGCAAGACACTAACTTAAGTTATCACCTTTTTAAAAGTTTAAACTTCTAAAAATTATCATTTCCCAGCAAACATTGTATAGCGGAATTTTAGTGGACCAATATAGGTATTTTGAGCGGACCACTTTATTTTTTCTCATCAGTTTCCTGGTGGGGCATTAGAGGCAGCAGCCAAAAGTGACGCACCAACGTTAGCCCAACGTGTTGAGCTGCTTGAGAAGTATCTATCTGTCTATCAATCAATCTATCTATCTATCTATCTATCTACCTATCTATCTATATATATATATATATTTATACATATATATATATATATATATATATATATATATATATATATATATATATATATATATATATGTATATATACACATGTATATATATATATATATATATATATATATATATATATATATATTTATATATATATATATATATATATATGTATATATATACATATATATATATATATATATATATATATATATATTTATATATATAAATATATATATATATATATATATATATATATATATGTATATGTATATATATATATATATATATATATATATATATATATATATATATATATGTGTGTGTATATATATATATATTTATATATATATATATATATATATATATATATATATATATATATATATATATATATATATATATAACCTAATAACCATCGTTTAAATGTTTTTTTTTTTTTGCACACATGATTTATATGTGACTTTGAAATAACTTTTTTTCCGACAAAATTTGCGAGAGATAAAACAAGGCTTTAAATAAACATGTTTTACTAGCCTGACTAAGTTTTAAGTATGTCTTTAAATATTTCTTCATTTTTAAATATTTCACATAATGGAATAACATTAATAAAATCAAATAAAATTAAAAAAAAAACAAAAACAAAAAAAAAATTGAGCGGACCACTTTATTTTTTCTCATCAGTTTCCTGGTGGGGCATTAGAGGCAGCAGCCAAAAGTGTTCTATCTATCTATCTATCTATCTATCTATCTATCTATCTATCTATATATATATATATATATATATATATATATATATATATATATATATATATATATATATATATATATATATATATATATATATATATATATATATATATATATATATATATATATATATATATATATATATATGTATATATATATATATATATATACATATATATAACCTAATAACCATCGTTTAAATGTTTTTTTTTTTTGCACACATGATTTATATATGACTTTGAAATAACTTTTTTTATATTAAGTTTTAAGTATGTCTTTAAATATTTCTTCATTTTTAAATATTTCACATAATGGAATAACATTAATAAAATCAAATAAAATTAAAACAAAAACAAAAACAAAAAAAAAATGACTAACAATAATACCATTAATATTACAATTATAATAGTATACATATAAATTTTTCATTACAATTAGTAATTTCTAAATGGCTCTTTCTAGTCAAATTTCAAAAACTTCAATAAACTGTCAATATTCTTTGTAATTTGTTTTTCAGCCATCTTTTATGCCAAATTTTATGAAAGCCTATTAAATAAAAAATTCAAATACATTAAAAAAAAAAAAAAATTACAATTACAATTTTCTGTTGCTTTTTCATTTAGGATTTTTTTTTTGTTTAGGAAAATTATTATTGTGACTTTTCATAATTCTTTCCATATTTCTTGTGCAACTGTGCTAACTTTAATTGTATTTCGATTATAAATTTTATGTAATCTATTAGAGGACCGGAAGTGTTTATTGACCATTTTAAAAAACGCTTTTCTTATGTAAGTGGAAATATTTTTGCTGTATTGGGGGTTGAACCAAATTACATTTCTAGTTCTATTTCGCTTTTTTATATTCTTTTTTTCAGGGTCAAATTTCAATTCAAAATTTTGAAATCCATTTTTTTTGAAGACATCTTTGTAAATTTGTTTAGAGAAATTTAATAAATTTTCATCGAAAGAGTTTTGGTTTAGCCTGTTATTAATTGAAATTGGGGTTTGTTTTAGATGATTTGAGTTAATATTAAGGTACAATAATTCATCATTTGGTTTTTTAACTTTCATTGAGGTTAAATGTGACATCGAGAAAATTCACAATTTTTAAATTTATGCTTATTTCAATTTAAAAACTAATATTAAAAAAAATATATAGTATAATATCTTTTCTAATTTTATCGAGCTGTGGACCAGATTATTCCTCTGCTCTTTTGAAGAAACATTGAACACTCTTTTGAGATCTTTTGAAGAAACATTGAACACTCTTTTGAGATCTTTTGA